AATCTTCTGCAGAACAAATGAGTAGTTAATTTATTCCAACAATGGTATGTTCTACATTGATCAGAATACTGACTACTTGAAATTTTTATCTAAGAAATACACATACCCCTACTTACTTTGGAATCTGATGCCTTTCTAATAATTCTTGGACCTATGGAAAATAAAAACATCCAATTAAGGTTTCAAAGTTTACTTTCATTTATTTCATGCAGACTGTCATAACTGACAATGCAAAAAAAAAAAAAGAGCATTAGGAAAAGTAAGTTACAGGAAAGAAAGTAAGTTACAGGTAAGAGAAGAAACTTCTGCCCAAACTATGCATGTGTCGCCACCTGCACCTGCATTTGTCCTGAATAAACAGTACTATCTTTGTCCATGTACATCCAACAGAAATGTGGTGCTCAGCAAATACAACAGAAATGTATTTGCTTAAATAAACGTATTAGGGTTATAAAAACAAATTAACTTCGCATATGTATCAACACTACTACATAGTGGTAGGTAAATCATAAAATGAAAGATAATACATACATTTCACATATGTATCAATTCTCTCTGTTGGGAAGTACTCAAATAAATTTTAACTGCTTTTACAACCTCAACCTTTTTCAGAGGAGGTTGCATTCTGCTGGAAGATATGATGAATGAGCATATGTATACTTCAAGCAGCTGAAAAATAAAGAGTGGCAGCAACCTTACTTGAAGCAACTCAGGGATCTTATGTTAGCATCTTTAATTTTCTTTGCTTCAGGAATGATTAGCCTGATTTAACATTAGCTGGCAAGTTCCAAAGTCAAAATAAAGTTTTCCTTGTTACCTTCTGGTGGAGGCTGAATCATCTATATTCAGTCAGTTTACCCTTACTCAGATTCGAACTAGGCTTGCCTGCATTTTAGTTGTATTAATCTCTGAGCCACAAGTTCTCCTCCCTTTATCAGCTGAGCCAGGGGAGGGAGCATACTGCTTCCCTTTTGCCTTTCAGCTCCAATCCAGAAGCCCTCAAACAGTCAGATTCACAACAAACCATTTTATACCAAGTTTGTATTTGCTGATAAATATAAATTATTTCTTTATCAGCAAATATAAATATTATATATACATATACATATATATGGAATGGAATGGAATGGAATGGAATGGAATGGAATGGAATGGAATGGAATGGAATAGAATAGAATAGAATAGAATAGAATAGAATAGAATAGAATAGAATAGAATAGAAATAGAATAGAATAGAATAGAATAGAATAGAATAGAATAGAACAGAACAGAATAGAACAGAACAGAATTGAATTCTTTATTGGCCAAGTGTGATTAGACACACAAGGTATTTGTCTTTGGTGCATATGCTCTCAGTGTACATAAAGAAAAATAAAACACATTCATCAAGAATCAGCAAAACATTCAGCAAGATGCAACACTTAGAGATAGTCATAGATTACTAATAAGCTACTCACTTTTGTTGCCACCAGTTTAGACATTAATGGCTGTGTGTTGCGTTATTTTGACAGCACATTTACACTGTAATACAAGTTGTATACTCACTACTTTACATTGTAGCCAAGTGTCATTTCTTCAGTGTTGTCACATAAAAAGATATACTTAAATATTTACAAAACGTGAGGGGGTGTACTCACTTCTGTGATATATTGTATGTACATGTATTATATGTGTGTACGGGTAGATGTACTTTCTTTTGGGAGCAGGCAATTTCATTTTTAATGTGTGCCAGTGTGCTCACAGTAAAAAATGACAATAAAGGTTATCTTACCTCATCCCATCCTATCTTAACAATTAGACTGGGCGCCAGGAGGCTCATGCCTTGTTCCTTCCCATCTTTCAACCTTAGATTAAGCCAGGTACTCACATAGTTTTCTCCAAAGCTGCGCTGTCCATGATTATAAGCCTCAATGACCATTTCTGCTGGTTTGGTTTTACTGACAGCCACTAAACGAGGTGGCATGGTAGGTAAGGTCTGCATTTGCAAAGAAAAAAAAAGAAGATGAGCAGTCTATACAGGCTTTCTGATAAGCGGAATGTGGAAAGCAATCACTAAAGACCCATCAACATATCAGGTAACAGCAAACAAAAGGAGGGCAACCTGGTTCCCTTTCACATTTTGGATCATTCTTATAACTTTGTTCATTGGCAATGTTGTCCAAGGATTGAGGCAGACACAATCCAAAAGACATGGAGAGGACCAGATTGTATATTCCAGGAATAAGGAAAATTATTTATTTATTTATTGGATTTATATAGGTACCCATCTCTGGGCATACAATAAGCCACCAGTTAGTTTAAAAAATAGTTGATCACAAATAGTACAAATAAAATTAATACATGGGTGAACAGACCAGAGCCCATCTTAAGGGCTCCCCTATCTCTAGGATTTCCCAAGCCTGCTGGATAAAAACAAGTTGTCAAAGATTTCCTATATTCGGTTTATCTAACTATAGTGATGAATAACATGTAAAAAATAACAGCTTTATTGCACCTTAAAGACTGCATTAAAAACGAATGGACATTCTCACAGACAAAAGGATTCTGCATCTTTAGAAGCCTCACCCCTTTCACTTGGGACAAGTATGACCAAGCACAATGGAATTTACTTTGGAGAGTTAGGTTGGGGATTAAATTTTCAGGAGAAGCCTGGGATCCCCTTTTCCTACTAACAAATTGAACTAAACGGCAAAAGCTTTTGAGAGGTGCTGTTCACTTCATCAGACGCCTAGAATAGCTAGGCTGATATTAAATTGAAATGAATGGGGGGGGGGGGGGGGGCAGCAGAAGGCAAGTTTCTCCCCATGACCTGATTTAACTCAATCAGGTGTCCATCAACCTAGCCATTCTCCACACAGCTAATCATTTCATAATAATACATATGTCAACTTATTTTTATATTGTGTCTTTTAAGCATTGTTTTATTGTAAACCATGCAGCTAATGATAATGCATACATACTTTAAACATTTTCATATTGTGCATTTTATACGTTCTATTTTGTGGTAAGCATGCAGCTAAGAATAACATATTAGTTGTTGGGTTTTTTTTAAAAAAAAAAATTAGATTGTGCATTTTATGTATTGTATTGCAAGCCGCCTGGCGCCCCGCAAAAGTCAGAGGAGGGGGATATAAATCGGATAAATGAATATATTTGCAGGCCGCCCTTTTTCCCACAGGCCCCGGGCAGGGGTGAAAGCAGTTGCGGCTGCAAATAAATAAAAAAGCCTTTTGAGTCAGATTTGTGGGTCGGGAGAGGATCTCCTCCCACACAGGATTTGGATTTGAAGCAATGGGAAGGTTGAGAGTCTCGCAGCTGATTCCGCCTTTCGCCGCCCGAGGAGCTCCAGAGGCGCGGGGACTACGCCTCCCAGCCAGGGCGGCCTCTGAAGATTATGGGAGTTGTAGTCCCCAAGCCCTGGAAGGCGCCCGCCGACCGTCTGCGGGGAGTCCCGCCGCTCCGGCCGCGGAAGAGCCCAAAGCACCCAATGCGAAGTCCGAGCGCAGGGCCGATTCAGCGAAGCCCATCCAGACCCAGGCGCGCGTGGGCCCCGGCGGGTCCTACCCTCCACCCCAGTCCCGGGACAGCACCTGGGGCCTCCGGGCCGCCGCCTGCTGCACTTGCTCCCGGACCGCCCGGAGCATCTGCGGCAGGCCTTCCCCGGCAGCCATGCCGGCTCTCCACATTCCTCGCGGGGCCTCCTCTTCCTCTGCGCTCAGCCCTTCCGGGACCCCCGAGCGCGCCAGCTTCCGCCACACAACGCGGGAGCCAATCGCCGCTCGAGGTTGTGCTCAGCTGGCCAGCGGGATTGGGAGGAGAGGCCGGAAGGAGGCGGGGTTGAAGCGTCTGACCGGCCCTCGCCTTCGGCCATTTTGGAAAGGTCGAGAGAGGCGAAGCAACGGGTAGAAGTGGAAGCTGCAGCACGCATGCGCGCCACACTTGTGCTGAATAGATGGGCAGCTCTACAAGCCCGAGGGCGAGCGGTTGGAGAACAGTTAAGGCTGCCGGTTACAGTCCTGGTCCTACTGTCAAATCCTTCACCTTCCTTAAAGATTGCACAAGTGACGGATGGCAGGTGGGATACATGAAGCTCCCTACTCAACTTCCCCGTTTTCCAGGGTTGTTGCAAATGCAAAGTCAGGTTACCTGCTGCGGTGTGCTAATTTTCAGTATTTCTGGAAACCTTTGGTTTCCTTCTGCTTCCATTGATCCTGCTTTCCCCCCCTCTTCTCGGTTTCTACTTTGGCTCCATTTCTGGATGGCTCATGTTGACACCAATTGGGTGGCTTGTGCATGCTGGTTCCGGTACCCACCTTCCCCATTGATCAGAGAGAGAAGCTGAAGCTGTCCTTGGAATCCAATGGATCTGAAAATGCAAGATTTTGGGAAGAGGGAAGGATGAGAGAGGGATTGGAAGGATATCATTAAGAATTCCATCCAAATCTCCCCTATTTATAGAGCCACTAGACTGATTGGGACAACTTGCTCAGCTCTATTGCTTTTGGCTTCTGCGGCCAAAAGCATTACATTACATAAACCACAGCATCACACAATGTGAATTCAACTGCCACCACCATCACCCAACCTTGTTCCCCAAATATGGACTACCTTTCCCATCTGGGCTTGCCTATAAGTAACACAGTGCTTGCTTTTCTCCTCCAGGACATTCATAAAGTAAAGAGTTACAATACAGTAGGGAAACGCATGTTTCAACTTTATAAAGGCATCAATTATTTATGTCTGAAGTTTAAAAAAATAAAGGATATCTGATAATCAAGTTCTAATGATCCCCACAGGAATGCTTGGCAGCCTAACTCCATAAAATGTCTCAATTTAAGATTTTTGGGTGTGTGTTTGTTGTGTTCAGGAAATGTTTCCAAGATACCATCCAATTCTTAGATTCTTCAAATATTTTTCTGCCCCCTCCTGCCAACATTATTTCAAAGCCCAGCATATGTCCTTACTTTTCACTCTGAAAAGAGAGCCCCTGAATACACACATTAGGGTGTACTTATTCTAAAAGCAAAGAACATTTTTATTGAGTCATTACAATAAATATCAAAATGTACCAGCAATTTAATACACAATTTTCTAAGGAAACAATCCAACAGATTAGAAACACAGCAGCATGGCGGAATGGCAGATGTCCCAAAACATGAATGAGCAACATTCATTGATTGCCTCCTATAGAGAGCTCATTTGAAGCATAAAAGTTCTTTTTCACATCCTTGCATACAGAAAGTAAGTGTTACTTTGTTCAACGATAATACAAAATAAAATAGAAAAATTAGTTGTTCAGAACCCAAACAGTGAGCAGTTGAGAAAGGCTCATTTTAACAAAGCAGCTCTCTCTTGCATGCACATTCTCTTTCACACATACACAAAAATCAATATTTCTAGTACCTAATGGGCTGGACAGAATTGAATTATCAGGAAAAATCACCCACATCTTAATTAAGGAATGCTGCTTTTTAAAAAAAATTGAAAAGAATTTTAAAGTTTCATTTAGTTAATCCATATATTTAAAAAATCCTAAAGATTTTTTCTAAACCATATTTTTACATCAGTGTTATATAAAAAGTCACATAATGTACTTTGGCTTTGCTGGAATTTAGTATTTGCTAGTTTAAAGAGCTTGAGCAAAAGAGAAACAAATCTTAATCTTTTATACATGAAGAAAAAAAAAATCAAATGTCACTGCTCCCATAAATCTTATGTGAATGCTTATTAAGTTTATTTTTATATTCCAGTGCACGCATAATTGTTTCTGCAAACTGTAGTAGGAAGAAAGTTCAAAAAATAGCAGCTTTCTTCTATTGCAAAATTGGATATAACTCAGGCAATGAAATTCAACTGTACAATTCAGAAATTAAGACAAATGGTTAGAGAGCCATTTTAGTACCTAAGCTATTTTATCATACCATTTCTGAACTATTTGTTTCAAACTTTCTGTATTTTCAATTGACAAGGAAAAATCTGTGACGTCTACATGAAAACAAGCTTATACAAATAAACAAGAACATGGCTGAACCCAGAAGTGCAGACTTAAATATCAACATGATTTTGACTACAGTATTTTTTGATATGAACAGAATCTAGATAAATTTTGGCTAGTGACAACCTGTTGCCAATTAATTGTCCTATAGCAGCCACATCAATCTTTTGCAGCTGCTGCTGAAAGCTCAGGTGGCAATGGAGGATGGACACTGGGCAGTGTGATAGAAGAGAACATCTATGAAGGGAAATACATTTTCTAATATACCCTCTCCAGCCCAGTCAAATTCCATGTGGTATACTCCTTCCATGACCTCCAGATGTGTTGGATCTCTGTTTCCTAACACTGGACAATATCAAAATGAGGAAAACAAATCTTGTACTGCACATTTCACTGTCAAAACTTTGGCTTGGGCTCATTAAGGTCCCAATATTTTTAGAATTAGATTCGATATAGCTTCAGCTTGGGTTCACCCTTAAAGAAACAATTCCTTTCTTGTTTTGTCTTAGTGAGAAATGGACTTCTTTGAAGAATAGAGGAATACATTACAAAGCCACATGCTAAAGGACCTAATGCTTTAGGACTTGCATTTATCAGCCATGGAAGAATGCCAAGTTTCTTTATAAGGCAGTGATGGTGAACCTTTTCGGCACAGAGTACCCAAACCGTAACATGCGTGAATGCACGTGTGCGCGCGTGCGCCAGAAACCTGAAGACCAGCTGGCTGGTGCACATGCCTGTTTTGGGGCCATTTTCAGACCATTTTTGGGCTGTTTTCAAGTCATTTTCCGGGCCGTTTTCAGACAGCTTTTTGCCATTTTCAGGGCCGTTTTTGACCCAAAAAACAGCCTGGAAAACACCCCCAAAATTGCCTGTTTTGGGGCCATTTTCAGGCACTCCAGCGCCCACAAAGACCAGCTGGCCAGTGCACATATGTGTGCTGGAAACCAGAAGAGCAGCTGGTGATGGCGTGCTTACCCACAGAAAGGGCTCTGCGTGCCACCTCTGGCACACGTGCCATAGGTTCGCCATCATGGTTATACGGTGTGAGATAGTCTTTAAACCAGAATAGGAAAAAAAAACATCCTACACTCTTGATGTTATTGCAGTTCTAGAGATTTCAACAAGCAGCCCCAATTCAGAACAATGCACTGTGTGGAAACCAATAGCACATTTAATGGGCTTCTCCCCATGAATTTGGGGATAATGATGCCATAATTCTCATAAGCCTTTATTCGTACACAACAAGTCACACAAAGGGAAGTACACTTGATGCTTCTTCTGCTCCACTTTCCCTATAGCCTATATTGTGTTGTACATAAGCACTGTTTAATTCAACTGCAAGTAAAGGCCAAATTCTAACACAGAATGGGAAACAAGTACATCAACTGTATCCTTGTCAATTGAAGGGTGAGGGTTCACATGACTGAATGCTTCTATATTAAAAATGTATTACTCCAAAGGTTAGTATAATATTTTAGTGAAACAGACAGATGTTCTCCATACAGCTTCCTTCACTTCAGAGGAACTCTGGATGTTCATTACATTAGCTCAGCTTTAGACAATGAAGACGCGTGGAAGAAAGCAACTGCAAGGGAAGGAATAGGCTAAGGCGTCCAACCTTGACAATGTTAAGAGTTGTGGACTTCAACTCCCAGAAATCCCAGCCAGCATGGTCTTCATGTTGCCAAGGTTGGACACCCCTGGGCTAAGGAAAAGCTCATTTGAAATTTAAGGCACATGTGGCAAAGCGCCTGAGATTCCCTTTATTTAGTTTGCAGGCCATGGATTCCGAATAGTAGCCCCCATTTTATAAAGAGGCTCATCTCAATCCCTCTTGCATGATGAGAAAAATGTTAAAATGGAAACATCCCTCTCCCACTTCAAGTCACACTTCAAGAGCAAGGACTGTAATCAGACTGACAGAAATCTCCCATGAAGTTTAAAACCCAGCATGCCATAACGATCACCCTCTCAATTAGGTGATGGAACAAAATTGAACAAGAGAGATTTTTCACTAGGGTATTTGGAGAAAGGTACAGGACATTTCACTTGATGACAACTGAAAATTGACCAGGTTGTTTGAAAAAAATCAGAAAAGGAAAGAGAACAAGAAGCAAATAGAAAGTTTTTCTACTTGGTCTTTGTCCAGCATAGGCAAAGCATACTTTAAAAAGGATCTAGGAAAGTTTGCATTCTTAACACATGGAACAGACACAAAAGATGATTTAGCAAGAGGGCTTATTCAGGCCTTGTGGCTACTGAGCACTGATCTTATAGTGGGAGGCACGGATTAGACTAAGATGATAAAAGTCTTTTGAGTATCATCACCTAAGAGGTCTGGGGTTCTTGGTCCTGCCACTTACAAGATATTATAGCCCTACTTGCTGCAGCTTAAAAGCAGGAAAATGTATGCTACTGATACACCAGCTATTCAATCAGCAAACATTGATTAGTGATTTTTTTTAAAAAAAAAATGCTTCCCCTACTACAAGGAGGTAAAAAGGCCTTTGTTACAGACTGTTTGGATTACAAATAGGATTTCAGCCCTAAAAGGGTTCTTATCCAAGTACCAGGATCTTGGGGTTTAGAACAGAAAATTTTGGCAGGATGCCCTATTCGTCTACGATGTCTCAATCTTTACCACTTAAAGACATGTGGACTTCAACTTCCAGCATTCCCCAACCAGCCATCATGGCTGGCTAGGAATTCAGAGAGTTGAAGTCCATACTTCGTAAAGTTGCTTAGGCTAAGAAACACTAGCCTATGCAAAATAAATAGCACAGGCCAACAAGAAGAATGAAAAAGTCCTTCTGTTTGAGGGGGGGGACGGACAGAAAGTTCTCTCAATCTGGTTTTTGGAGCAAGCCATTTCTAGAACCACATGCAACACCCCCCCCCCCTTCCTTAATGGAAGATACACACCTAATGGAATAAGCATCTTGGGATTTACAGTCACTGAGGGCACCATTTGAGACATCATTGGTTGCTGAAGGAGGGATTCGGATGCAGCTTGGTGTTTCGGATTTCTGCTTGCTGGGCTGTCCTCAGAAAAAATCAGTGTTAAGAATCACTTCCCAAACTATTTCACCTACTTGTGGATCACTTCAAAGGGCAGCCTTCTAGAATATAGAAATGCTGGATGTGTGTATTTTATCCATAAAGCAGTGGAACAGGAGAGACCCCGATGTTGCACCCTTGGAGACTAGTCAAGCCAGAATACAGCCCTGTATGATGAGTCTTGATCAGTCAGATCTGGGTTCTGCAAATAGGCTGCCAATTACCTAGTGAACAACAATGACATGGCTAGTAGATTGTGTTAAGATTATGGGATCAGTAGTTACGCAGGTCCATTCAGACCACAATCTGAAAACCAGAATCAAGTTATGCTTCTCTACTGATTCCCTCTATGAACTGCATATTATTATAGAAGAACTTCCAGATAGAGGACAAGCACTTCTCCAGGAAAAGCTGCATTTAATGTAAGGGCAAAAGAACCATCTCACCTGACATTTGTCCCATGACTGTCCCAACCAATTTCTATAGGTAGGAAGGTGGACATTGGGTCTAGATGTGCTCTGCAGATCTTGAAATAAGCACCAACTGACATATCTTTAGTTAATGTTTAATGCTCCAAGTTTCCATTCCAAGGCTTTTAATCTGTAGTGTGTGTACTTCTTGTTTAAAAAATTCAAAATTAGCACCTTTATTTTTGAAGGAATAGGCTGCAACTGATGACTAGTGAAATCCAATTACTGGAGAAGATGCTCATGAATGCAAATAATTCAGCATGCAGAGATGATCTGCTCATTCACATATTGTCCAAAAAAATATTAGTCTACTGAACCTTATGCCCTTCAGAAGAGTTGGGACTGTAACTCATGGACTTCCCGGTCACCCCAACAACTTACATTCTGGGGAGTTGGCAGTCCCAAGACTTCTAGAAGGAATAAGGTTGGGCTATTTCAAGACTAATTTGCCAATACCAAAAGAGGGAGTGAGCCCTTTTTTCAATTAAAAAAAAAAAAATCCTACATGGTGGACTTGACCTGTAGTATATGTACAAGTATAAGGGAATAGTTGGGTTTCTCACATGAAAAGGTTTCTTTTGCTCCAGAAATAAAATTGAGCATGCTTCATCTTATTGAAGTGGAGGCAGAGTCAATCATGGGCATGCTGCCTCTTCTTTTAGCATGATTCACTGTTGCTCCCTCCATCGGCACGAAGATCAATAAGGCAGTGTATCTTGACTGCTAAGAAAGATGAAGTCAGAAGCCTGAGTTGCAGTGCTTCTTCAGGCTGTCTTTTCAGAACAGAGAGGGTGTTTTTCTTTCTGGCCTAGTGGGCTCAGTGCTTCTTCACATTCTGGAAGGTAGAGACCACACATCAAATAGCCAAATGCCATTTTGGATGGATTCAGACAGGGGTGGTGCTGTCCGTCTGGCCGCTCATGACTTCACAAATCTTCCCCTGTTTCCAGCCAACTTTCATCTCTTAGCTCCTCTGCCTGTCCTTCAGAAAACTTAGTGGGAGTCCCAGCGTGATCCATAAACATGTTGGGTATATCTTTGCCAAAGTAGATTTTGCTGTTGGAAGCAATCGCTTTGTATTTCATTAACTGCAAGTATTCTGGGGTCAGTTTTAGCTGCAAGGAGAGAGAAAGAGAGCATACCCACAAGTCTAGTTATGAAAAAGAGTTTTCAAGTTTTCAAGACTCAGTCTTTGGATTAAATTATCAATTGTGTGTCTTATAATACTTTGAAAATACAAAAATAGAGCAAGATAAATATGCAAGATAAAGCTAAAATGAGGCTGGTTAGTTGATTCAGCCACTGCCTGTGTTATATAAATAGACTATTGCATTCAGCCATAATAATAATTTGTTTGAATATAGCACAATATCCAGAGACACTCGGAACAAATGGGGCTATCCAGTGGCTTCTGCTCTTTGCGATTATGGTGACGTGCAGACAACAACCTATATATTATATATCTGCCCTTTGTGTCCCAATCAGGATCTCATGGCAACGCAACAGAACGCAATCAATGTTGCTAGTTTTTGGGTAAGATCTTGATTTGTACTGTATATATTTTAATCTTGTATTTTATATTTTAAATTTTATGTCATATAGTATGTCTTATTTTAATTGTGATGCTTTCAACACAAATGAACCAACAATCTGTACACAGGAGAAAAATACTACTAATCTACATCTGGGATTTAGTATGTTGTGTAAATATTTTCTCTTATGTATCTTATAATATCTCAGTGCTGCGGCTGTAACTATGATGTAGGGATTACATGAGAGAAACATCTACTTCTGTGTCCAGGAGGAAGAGGAAAACCTAGCATGGATTGCCAGGCACAAACTGGTCCATAAATAAGTCAATGGTTAGCAAGTAATCAAGAACAACTTTTTAAATCAATAAGATTTTTGGAGTCACACAGATTCCATCAAGAATCTGAGGATGGAGAAGCTCAGACAAGGGGACAACCGCAGTGATAATAAAGATCAAAACAACTTTAAGACTTTGCAGTTGCAGCATCAATAAACTGAGCTCCAGGCCAAGGAAGCACAGTGGAATCTCTCACCTTGTTGGCTTCTGCTATCTTCAAGGCCGTGTAACATTCAGCATCTGCTTTCGCTTTTTCTCTGGCAAGGAATGCGGCATCTGCAAAAAGAGGGGAGATGGGTGAAAAAGACTTCCAAATGCAGAGAAGCCTCAAGTGACCCTGAAAATTTAAAGAGGAGGAGGAGGAGGAGGAGCAGACATTTTCTAGAAGAAATGCTGATTTGTATCTTCAGAATTGGTTAAATAGTTTCCATCTGAAGTCATTTTTTCTCTTAATCTTGATCAGAACAACAAGAACAAAAAGATTACAGCCAATTATTAAGAGAACAATCTGGAGGAAGAAATGAAGCAGAGCAGAGCAGTTTTCCTTAACCTGATATCCTGCAGACATTCTGGGCATCACCATAGCCAGCAGACATTGTGTAGGATGAAGGGCACTAGGTTAGGCAAAGCTGATCAGTGACAAAAAGAAATCTGAATAGAGAGAACATGCTCCAGTTAAAAATTCAAACTTTTCTGTGTGAAATCTACCAGTAAGTCAGATGCTTTTCAGAATCAAGTGAAACAGATATAATTTAGACTGTTCTAGTTTCTAAGCAAAAGATTCAACTCTTCCCACACACACCCAAGAGTCAGTGAGGTAGAGATGGTTGGAATTAGATCTGGGAGATGCAAATTCAATTCCCTATAAAGCACACAGCTGAAAGACAGTACTGATTGAAAAGTAGAAAGAATTATGATTCTAAGAGAAAGAATTTCCAAGTTTAGAAAGCCAATTCATAAAGTAATTGCTAAATACAACCACAATTAAGCCCCAAATTTCTGTTGCTAAGCAAGATAGTTAAGTGAATTTAACTTCCCAAAAGGTGATCACATGACCTTGAGAGCCAATTGCCAAGCGTCTGAATTTTGATCATGTGACCATGGGGATGCCGCAACGGTTGCAAGTGTGAAAAAGTCGTAAGTCAAGCTTTATTATATAAAAGCAATATAGGTACTGCTCAACTTATAACAATTTGTTTTAGTGACAATTCAAAGTGACAATGGTACTGAAAAAAGTGACATGACTTTTTCACACTTTCAACCATTGGAGCATCCCCACCGTCCCATGATCAGAATTCAGTTGCTTGGCAAATTGGCTCATGTTTATAACGTCCTGGGTCATATGATCACCTTTTGCAATCCCCTGACAAGCGAAGTCAATGGGGAAGTCCATACTCATGCGGTTTTGACACACATCCATCCATTAACACCTCCATGTCTGTTCATATACCAATGCACCAATGTCAACAGCCCAAAGTGTGTGCAATTCAAGGGGTATACAGTCCAGTATCCAATTGCCAGAGCAACCACACGAGTCTGAACAAAGCCCCAAATTTGCTACTAGGATACAGCTGGACATCCTGTCTCCTCTCCTTCAATTGCTTAGGATACAGCTGGATCGTTTCAAAGGCCTGGCACTCAGCAACACGTCTCGATGTAAAAGCAAGCTATTAGCCCTCTGCCAAGGCCTGCCTAATGAGAAGCTGCTGCTCTGTAAACCACTAATTAGCTCCTTGGGGACATGCTGGATCGCTTGACAAGGTTCATAATGAACTTAGCTTAGCAAACCAGTGCTTAGAGGCAGGCCAGAGGAGCCTTTTCCCTGCACCAGCAGCTTACTCCAAAAAAGGGTCAACAAATGGGAAATCCTCATGTCAGCATCTCCTTCTTACAAGGGTAGCTTGAAGGCTTTGGCTCAGTGGCACAGCACATGCTTTATAAGCAAAGTACCCAGGTTCAATTCCAGCTTGTGATGCAGAGAAAAACTTGCAGAGCCAATGCCAGTTGGTGGAAATATCACCAACTTGTGATCCAGATGCCAATCCCATGTAACTTCAAGCTAATTTCAAAGCCTGCGCATGGGCAGTGGTGGTGGTGTAGACTCAGAGATATTTGGATTGTTTTTAAGGCCTGCAGGTTGGGGGAGTAATGAAAATTGAGAGAAAGGAGGAGTAGCCGATTCATTCTGCCTCATGGTGGTTTGCATGGTTAGGACGCTGGGTTGATAAGTAGCAAGCCCACGTTCGAGACCCAAATGCTAACATGGAACGGGGCGAGTTTCCATAATTTTCTCCAGCTCCTGCTGACTTACCAGTTCAAAAGTGTGCATTTGTAAGTAGGTAGATAGGTACCACTTCAACTGGGCACATTAATAGGGACATGAAATCAGCTTTCAGCTAGGCAACCCCTGGGCAACAATGATGTCACTAGCTAATCCTTTCAACCTGGAAGCAGCCTAGTGCCTCCGACACAAGTGCAATGCAATTTGTTGTTCAAATCAGCCTGCTGCACACTCCTTAAATGGAAGTTAGGAGAAACTTCCTAATAGTAACAAGCAATGGTAACAGTCAGTTTTCTGATTCTTGGTTTAATGGCAGTTCAAAAAGGATTTAAAAGTAATGAGTAGTCTTTGCTGGAGGTTTTCAAGAGAAGCTGAATTGTAACCAATGCTTTAATTTGGATTTTTGCACTAAGTACGGGTTGGAACTCAATAATCTAAATATTATTCTTCCCACTCCATGATTCTATTATTTACCTCCTTATTGCTTAAGGATTAAATAAAAACTGGAATAAGCAAGGAAAGGATTCTTCAAATGTCAGTGAAATGGGGAGAGGCTCCTAAAGCTGATGACAGACGAATGGGATTAAACAGAAGCAAATCACAAGATGCTGCTTCTGCAGAATTACATCATAGACACTACTGATTCACCTAAAACAAGATTATCTCCATTAACATCACTAAAATATTTGCAATTTTCTTGTTCTCTCTGTAAACTGGATTTATCTCTTTGTTAGATTTCTGGTGATCTTCAAACAGGGAACATAGTGATTGAAATCCTCAGACAGGACAAACACCTCTAAGACACTGCTGCTTACCTTCAATCTCAGATATTCTTTTCTCTGTTTCTTTTTCCATCACCTTCTGCCCATATGTTATCTCAGCCACCTGGGCAATTTTTTCTGCTTCTGCATAGGAGAGAAAACACACCCAATCATTATAGGAGGCAGCAATGATGTTCAATGAAGTTACAATTTCCTGGAGCAGAGAGGCTTTCTCCACTGCCTCTGTGGGTGCTTCCCCCAAAGGGTGCTTAGAAATGATGACTTGTACACCTTTTCAGGAGGTTTTTTTCTCTTTTGTTTACAAGGGTGGCTCATATTTTAAATTAGGATTTTTCTAATGATCTCTGATGAAGTTAACTACCCCAAAGGAAATTACGTCCCTCCCCCTCATTTCACAAACTACCTGAGTATTTTTATACTCTCAGAGAATTCACAGTTTGCAATCTAAAATCATTCTGAGCTTATATCCAGTTTGGTTCAGATCCAGTGGGAAAAATACTCCCTTAGTTATATGCACAATGTATACTTCTTAGCCTCTGCTTTTGATCTCCCTCTATTCTTTTGGAAAATGCAGTCCACACAGACAAAACAAGAAATACCACCTATTATGTTCTGCCTAATTCCACAAGAATATTCATACATGACAACAAAAACTGCACACCAACCAATGAGCGCCTTTTTGCGTTCTGTTTCAGCCTCTTTCTCCACAACTTTCTGCTTCTGAGCTGCAATCAACAATTTTGTTTTTTCACTCTCCCTAGAGGGGACCAAGACAGGCTTTAGTTAAAGGATTAAAATGACTTCCATAACAAAAGGTATCTTCAAGTTACTGAATGGATTAGAATATATACATATATAGAACGACACTTAAGATTTATATACCGCTTCACAGTGCTTTACAGCCCTCTCTAAGCAGTTTACAGAATCAGCCTATTGCCCCCAACAATCTGGGTCCTCATTTTACTGACCTTGGGGATGGAAGGCTGAGTCAACCTTGAGTCAATGAGATTCGAACTGCTGACAGCCGGCAGTCAGCAGAAATAGCCTGCATTCTAACCACTGCACCACCACAGCTCTTATATGTACAAATAATAAGCACAAGAGATTCTACAGATGGCTCAAACTGAACATTCATTCATTCAATACAGCCAGGAAACAGGGCCCTTAACATATTCAGCAATTAAAACTGGGTGAGCAGTGTGTGTTTTTACATATGTCATATGACTACAGTCCTATAGTGTATGTGTAATGTATGCACACACACACACATGTAACCACTATAAAGAAGAGGATTTCAGAAACTTACATGAGCTCATAATTTCTCCGAATTGTTTCTGGGATGTTTGGCTTTGTAACTCGGACCGCCTGATTGAGCAGAAAAAGTGAGCATTATGAGGAAAGACTCTCAAAATGACCACAATATTAAGAACCACATAGCTGACTGTTCAAAAGTAAAGGCATCCTGAATCTGTGAATAGGAACTAGTAAGAATGAAGCAACAAAGGAAAGACTAGCTATCAATTGGACAGAGCTCATAAGAGGTTTCAATAACTCCTTGTTTAGATAAGCAACAATTTTTAAAATAATCTTATAATCTATTCAGACATATAAAACTAAACATGGAAGTTGCCTAGCCCAGAACGTGAGACACTTCCGTTAGGAGAAAAGCACAACTTAGAACCAAACTAGAACCAATATTTTGTCATCATGTTTGCAACAATGGCAGAATCTCTGAACTTCAAATTGGACAACATCAAGATTAGTTTGCAATTCTCTCGTCTATCCCAGCGATTCTGAAGCTCTCAGGGAGTCCATGAAGTCAACTAAGTAATAAATATTTTAAATTTTCTCCATTTTAATATCTAAATATTGTTAGATATATCCCACATTAGCCAAAGCTCTTTGGGGTCCCTCAATCATTTTTAAGAATGTGAAGAGGTCCTGAAACCAAAACATTGAGCATTCTATCCAGTTTTGCACCAGAATTTTTTTCTTGGGATATATTCCAGCATTTTTCATTACCTGTATGATGAGTCCTGGAGCCATGGTTGTCAGATCTTGTTGAAGAGCCAGTTTTAGGTTTTCATCAATCTGATCTAAGAAGGGATAAAGCAAACAGACAATATTGCTGCAATAAAAAATGGGAGAGAATATGGATGACAAGGCACTTATTCTCTGGAAGGAATTATAGGTTATTGAGACAGTAGTTCCTTTGGAAGCAGGTGGTCTCACTTTCAATTCCAACCTCTTTTATGCCAAAGATCACAGAAAATGTATGGATTTTCAAAATTTGCTGAACTTCCAGCAATAATAGCCATGAACTTGGCTAATGGTGAGGAATACTGGGATTTATAATTCAGCAATATTTTAAGGGTATCAGGGCCACTGATAAGTAAGGAGATATAATCTTCAACCAAACATTCATATAATCAATGACACTTTCCAATGTTTCTTTACTGCTAAATAGTTGTAGAGGTAAAAAAAATGGTGCAAATTTTCACTCCTGCCTCATCAACTAGCTCTACCAAAATTCCTGATTATAAAACCCTGAACTATAAAACCACTATTTGTTTTCAATTGACTGATTTGTCTTCTGAAACAAAATGAAAATATGTAATGCATTATCATGCTCTATCATGTTCAAAGGAAATGATGTATCACACATTGCAACATTTAATTACTTCCACTAAGACTAGCTAAAAGCACCATTAATTTTTTGAGATAGATTTTGTGTCATCAAATTGGCCTCTGCTCTTAGCGACCACATATATTTTCTCTGTCCTTAACCTGGTCTTTCAAGTTTTTCAATGCTCCCATTAATGTTAGGAAAGTAAAATCTATTGCTGTGGATTCAATGATTTAACAAATATGCAAACCCGTAAATGCTCTCAATTATGGGAAAGAGAAAGGAAGACAGCTTAATGAAATTCACAAACCTAACCCTTAAATTCTTCTCATTCTAGAGACATTGTAATCCCAACAGTTCTCTAAGGTATTTTAATTCAAGTGTTGTGCACATCATGCTGAAGAAACTCACCAAACAATTCAATATAAACTTCCTGAAGTGTGTGAACACTGCAAAACTGGTTCAGCTCATGGTGGATCTTGTTGAAGATGAGAGCCTTATCATAATCTGCAGTATAGTTCTTTACTATATCATAGACTAGGGAGAGAGAATAAGGGGTGTTAAAAAATTGTGCAGGCAAGAAATGGCATCTCATTTGTTATTATAGCCACGGTTTGAGAATGGGAAAAACTCAGTACTTCTCTCCAGGCAACAAAGAACCCTGGGAACTGGGTGATTAAAAATAATCCCTAATTTTATTTCCTTGGTATAAATGGTCCCTTCATTTTATCTTCCTTCCAGCACAATTGGTGCAGCCATTTCCCACAATAAATCCGATCCCAAATCCAGCTCTGAAAAAGAGGTTGGCATTAATAACTCACCTGCACTTTGGATCAGGAAGTTCACAACCTCAATTCTGTCAAAATAGATCATCACTCCTCCGCTGCAGCAATAAAGAAAAAAAAATTCAAGTAGGAGAGAGGTGAGCATCTGCTGGGATCGGTCATTTGGAAGAGAAGCAACGCTGAGAGCTGTGCTAATCTCCCTTGCCAAAAAAACAGGAGTTTGGTAGCATCTTTTCTGACAAACACCTTTTATTAGAAGGCATACGTTTTTCTCATGTAAGCCAACACCTTTTAATAAAATTAAAGTTGGAAAAAAGTGCTACCAAACTTCTGATTGCAAGAATAAGGTATCAAGCGGTAGCTCAGAAAGTGAACTCTACCTGCTCCAAACACATGCAGTGCTACTTTGTTAAAAAAGGGTAGCAATTTTAGATTGATTGGTACACATTAAGACTACTGCAAGAGGCTTCTCTGTGGATAAGTAAAAGGAAAAAAGTGCCATCTAGTGGTAGAGGCAGGGCATTCTTTGGATTAATAGAATGCAATCAGGCCTCCCATCTGAGTGAGAAAAATAAGGAAAGCAAAGATAGTACTAATAGTAATATTGCCTTGGGTGCAATCCCAAAACAATTGGAGGACCATTTGAACATCATTGGCATTGTCAAATTCACCATCAGCCAATTACAAAAGACAGCTTTATTTGGAATAGCTTACATCCTGCGACCATACCTCTAACACAATGAAACATCAATATCTGCCTATCCCACTCAGGTCCTGGGGAAGGGCTTGATAGGTGCATAAAAATGGCAAATCCAGTCTGAACATCTGGCTGACTGTGTGACAAACCATAATAATAAAAAAATTGCATTGAAATAAGATGCCTGGATGAGAATCCTCCTCAAACACCTACAACATCAGGATTGGAAAAGGGGGAAGTTTGTATTATCCCACATGGGCTCCAAAAATGGGAAAATATAGAAATGAGGGGTGAAATTGGAATAGAAATCGGTGCTCTCTGAGCCTGCTTGATTACTTGCAAACACTTCATGATGTTACCTAATTTGGGTAACGAAACATCTGCAAGAAAACAAGCAAACTCAGCAGCAAGGACCTCTCATTTCAACCCTGAGCTACTGATATTCTCCTCTATCGAAAACAGAAATTCAAGAAATGATTACATTAATTAGTCAAGCTACATAACTTGGTTTTTTTAAAAGTGAAATAATTGCAGCTTTGAATGCCAAATATCTTAACTCCAGGTTTCAAGACCGACAAACCTACTTGCATTTTTATACCATCTTTAAATACAAACTCCTAGGCTGTGGTATTAATTTTTTAAATCTTGCCTTTATCACTTTTATAAATAACTTAAGGCAGCGAATGTAGCTAATACTCCTTCCTCCTCCTATTTTCTCCACAACCACCACCTTGTGAGGCGAGTTGGGCTGAGAGAGATTGACTGGCCCAAAGTCACCCACCTGCTTTTCATGTCTAAGGCAGTACTAGAACTCACAATTTCCTGGTTTCTAGCCTGGTGCCTTGATCACTACACCAAACTGGTAGTTACATGGGCAGTCAAATACAAAATCATAGATACAAGATGATTTCATTTCCTATTTGTGTCATCTTATCTTAAATCAGCAAAAATAATAGCACATTTTTCGACACATCTATACACAGGAGGGAAGCACTAATCAAAGTTACAAAACAAATTCTAGATTTATGTACGAGAAAGCCTTCCTCCACCTGTGGAGAAGATAAAAGCTAAGAAATGGCAGATTTCACAGATGGGGGTCCAACCTTACCTTGTGCCACATGGAACATTCTTTACTTCATCTGTTTGTAAGGTGGTCTAGAAAGTAGAAAGAAAGAGGACTATTAAGGGACTGCTTTCCTTAAGCTGAATTTCACTTCTGCAATAAGAAAAAAAACTTTTCTCTGGGATGGGGATAAACAAAATTTGGCAGCCAACACTCACATAATCTTTTTTTGGGGGGGATAAACAGCCGCAGGAAACAAGGTAATGTTGCATAAAGAAGGTCACAACTGTGAAGAGATTCATCTTTTTACTTTTCTCCCTGACTTGGAGGAGGATTTTTAAATTATTGTGCTACAACTTATTATATACTGATGCCAAATGATGTTTCTTGTCCCAGCAGAGCAGAAAAATAATATTGGGTAGTGCAGAGCTCCATGGGCTGTAAAAAGTGGTTACCCATCTTTGCACAGTGGCTTGCATAGCTTTGGTCAAGTCTCTTTGGCCCAACTCAGGTAAATGCCACCCATCTGTCTATATCAAGCTCTACCTGATCATCTTAGCCCCATCTTCTCTGCAACCTATCCGAGCCAGAAACAGACTGTCCATTCCAAATGTTGCTCAACAATACTTCAAGACAAATATATTCAACATGCTGATTGAAAGCAGGTCTTGAAGATAAATCTCTTACCCCTATTGTGAAAAAGTGGAAGGTCTTGTTTGAAAACAAGTTTAAAGTCCATTCAGATAAGACAAAAAGAAAGAATGTGAAGGAGTTGGGAAATGTGGCACATGCAAAGAACAACTTTGTTTGCAGGTCTGCAATTTTAAGAGTAACTTTGCAAGAACTTTGCAGAGGCTCATTACAAAATTTACAGAGGTAAAATGCTTAATAAAATATAACAGAAAATATATACATATTACGGGACAATAAAATAATAAGGAGCAGTTAAGATCTAAGTCAATCTGGGAAGTAGATAATAGTAAAGAAAAATAAATAAACTTTATTGCCAAATAACAGTGTCCCACACACATAAAACCAGCTTTTCCACAGGATGTAAGAAGTAAACAAATTGGAGTATGTAAATAATGTTTGTGTCACAAGCTCGTATATGTCTAGTCTGATTTATATGAATGATGTATTATTATATTATTGTAAACCGCCCAGAGTAATGTCATATAAGATGGATGGCTATATAAATTTGATTAATAAATAAACGCGAAGTTTATAGCTTGCTACACAATATTAATGATGGTTATTGCAAACTAGAATTCCTGGTCATGGAAAGCAACTGGAAACCAAAACTATACATATTCTGATTCTCCTCTGGAGACAAGCTAGGATTAGTCAGAGTTTCAGACTAAGATATGATTATCATGAATGGAGAATTGAGATCCAGGAATAAAAGGTTACATTACAAATTTAAGCATGGGCACAATTCTCTTCATGCCACATTCCATTTTTATTCTACTTTTAACCTCTTCAAGCATTCCCCACATTATGTTCCTTACCCAAACAATTTGCAACAGAAAACCTGGACTCTGAACCATAGGGTGTGGCAAGCTTCTTTCTTTCTTCCTTTCACAACAGTTACTACATAATGAACCACTTGACAAAACAGTTCCTCAGGCTTGCACCCAAGATACACAAAGAGCATTAGAGAGTTAAATATTAACAAAATCGCCCCAAGATGCATTTAGGAGCATCTTCCATGTGACAGTTACAAGGTATAAATGTAAATCCGGCTTCTAGATATCTATACTTTAGTAACAAAATATTGAATCATGTATTTAAATTTTCCAATCAATTAGGAGTTGATTTACTTATCCCCAACAAAATATACAACAATTATGAAAATTGAATTATATAAACTATACATTGGACTAAAATGACACCTCATATTGTTGAGACTGTGAATTAGAATCTACCAAGAAATGTCTATTCTAAGGTAGCATTCAAAACTACTCTGGCACAGTTAGTAAGAGTTCTCTGTGCTTCTCTCCCATAAGACAATTATATATAAAGACAAGATACCTGTACTGATTTATAGGAAGTTATGAAGGGGAGCATTAGATGGAAACCAGGTCCACTTGTAGATGTCAGAAGTGCTCCTCCTCTGTAGGGGAGAAAGGTATATATTTAAACAAAAAATGCTCAGGTTCTTTGACCAGCAATTTCAGACTTTTGACATCCCCACCAACCAATTCCAGATTATGTAGTGCATTAACAAATTCAAAGCTTGCTTTCTCACCATCACATTTTGCCTGTGTCCTTTTATCAAAACTTTATTTGCATCATTTGTATAGCATCCTACAAACTGAAGACAGCTCACCATAAATACAATTACACTGAGCCTGCAACAACCTCAGGTTCAAAGCCAAACATTTCATCCTAAATACTCAAGTTATGTGTAACAGGAGGGGGTGTTCTCCAGTGCCAAAAGACCACAAGTGTCCCAAGCTAACCACTCTAGAGCTACTATTTTGAAACATGTACAAGCAATTTCAGTAAGCATATTCAGAATGAGATGCATTTGCACAGTCCTCAAATGGTCCAGGAGAAGCAGATTTTCACAGCTATGGCATTCAACTTAAAGAACACTCTCCTAAAGAAAGTGTATGCATGGCACCAGGTTGAAGTGAAGGAAAAATTTCCATTTGTCATTTATTCAATCTTGCAAACCACATTTCTTAGCACACATGCAGCAATACAAAAAAGCACACATGCAGCAATACAAAAAAGCACACCTCCTTCCAAGTATCTGCCCTTACCTGTAGTAAACACCAATGTGCCCTTCTTCAATCTTGTGTATTGCAGAAAAAAGAGAAGCTGCTACTAGGCTAGCAGCCAAAGCTGCAATGGCACCTAACTGAGTCATCCCTGAGAAAGTAACCTGAGAAAAGTAAAAAAAGGAGCAAGATAAGCATTTATGTGAATCTGTGCAAGACACTGGTTCTCTGCTTTGGGAACAAACTGTCCTGTCTAAAGTTATAGACAGGACACCTTGTTTATGATTAGATCATGATAAAGATTTCCTTGCATGATTGGATCAAGGTCCACAGACCCAGCATACTTTTTCCATCAATAGCTAGTCGACTGTTCTCTGAAAGAACTGGAAATTTGGTTATATATTTACCTTTAGCATTTGATGACCAACTCTGCTGCCACGGAATATTCAGACTGTTTCATGTCATAGCTAAAAGATATGTTTTGGGGTTTTTTTTGCTTTAATTTATACGCCACTCTTCTCTGGAGACTCAGGGCGGCTTACAATGCATTAAGCAATAGCCTTCATACTTTTGTATATTTATACAAAGTCAGCTTATTGCCCCCACAAACTGGGTCCTCAATTTACCTACCTTAGAAAGGATGGAAGGCTGAGTCAACCTTGAGCCTGGTGAGATTTGAACTTACAGTAATTGCAAGCAGCAGATGTTAATAAGTGTTTAGTCCACTGTACTACAGGCTCTTCTCTTAACCTATATTTCTTATTAAATTTGATTAAAGTACTTGACATCCTACAAACCTCAGCTGCTTTTTAGGGTGGCAGGGGCAAACGTTCAGTCCTCTTGGCAACAGGAATCAATTTCACACAATCAGTGGTCATGGGCCCAATGAAATCTCATAAACTAGAAAGTGAATAAACCAAATTTCTTTTCACACCAAGGAGCCCAACTTTACTCTTCTCTCCAATAGAAAGCATTATTTGTCTAATTTGCCAGTTTTACCAACACCAGGTTATTGGAAAGTGTTTACAGTATCAATTTAATTCCTTAATGTTTTGTCAACTACAGCATTCATGTGAAATAAAAATGTGATCAGAAGAGAACTGTAAAAATTGGGCTGCTGATTGTAACTTTTACTATGTAGGATCTGATGCTGAACATTCAAATAGCGCCACAGGCGTGTTCACCTTTTATTAATATTAAACACAATCCACTAATAAACTTCTCCAGCACAGACTCTGAGGAAATCTGTAGCTGTTGGCATATTCTTCATGCAGAAATTAAGAGTTACCTGTGTCTCTAAAGGCAGGACTAGAATCACAATGTGGAAACAAGAATTTGGCTTAAGTCTTTAAAGTAAGTGTAAAAAATTTCCAACTGTGGAATAGACTACTGCAAGTGATAGGTTCTCCCTTTGATATTAAAGCAGAGATTGTTATATGCCAGTGATAACAATGTTTAAGCCTCAACAACTTGATTCTAATTAAATATATTGATTTGCAATTCCCAGAATTTCTAATTTCTGGGCAGCACTAGTCAGGCAAGAGTACTTCTGGTTTACCCTGATGAACCAGAGAATTGGACTAAATTACCCCATCGTCCTGTTCAGTTCTAAGATTCATTTTGCACTTTCCCATTGTCCGTTCTTGCATTTTTCCTATCAGTCGGACCCAAATTCTGACAGATACTACAGTTGCTTTGTGATGCTGTGTTTTTCAAAAAATTAGCAGGTTGCAAAGAGCAAACAACCTCTAAATGCTACTGCTTGCCTCTCATTCAAAATCCCCAGAAGTCTTCTGAGTGACTCACAGAAGTGCCCAAGTTGCCAGTTCTTTGAATTTTCAACCACTGCTAGTGATAAGGAAACCAAGCAGGAAGAACTTAAAGTGTCTTTTCAATTCTTGTAGCTTATGCTTCTCTCAGTTTGCCAAATACATCTTTAGATAACCAAAAAGAGGTTAATCCACAAGTATGCCTATGATTTGTGGTATACCCAAATGGCAGGAAACATACATTAAGCAATCAGTTTCTGTGAGCTGCAGCCTTAGCAATGATATACCCAATTCTAAATTTTCACTCCAGCTGAAAAAGAAATGCAGTGCCCACCAGCTTCATGAATAAAATTCCAATAGAAGAGAATGAGGTAAGTTGTAAAAGTCACGATGCTCAAGATTTGTTGACAATGAACTGTAACTGCTAAATAATGGTGGTTATATTAATGAACTAAGCTTGATTACTTATCAACTGAACCAACTGTAACTTGTTCAACAAGTCCTGGCATAGTGAAATCAGGCATATAAACCTAGTCTCCTGCCAAACTTGTTAATGATTTTTTAAAAAAAGTTCACCTGGCACCTTTATTTATCTGTGAATGCATTTCTATTCTTCCCACCTAACCTATTCCTTTAGAACAGCTATGTCCAACCTTGGCAACTTTAAGACTTGTAGACTTCAACTCCCAGAATTCCCTGGCCAGCATGTCTTAAAGTTGCTAAGATTGGAGAGGCTGCTTTAGAAAGACAACTGTTTCATCCTTTCCCACTTCTCTGCCTCCTTCCCCAGCCCTCATTTTCTTCGGACTTCAACGACAAGATTTTATTGGAGCGTATCTGTTGAAAAACGTATTTGAAAGAAAAACACAAAAGAGTTGCTTTCGATGCATGCATCTGCAAGCACCAAGACTTCAGCTCTCAGTAACCATGGAGCTCAGTTACCTTCACCCAGCCATTCTCATTCCAACCAATCTCACAGGCTTGTGGTGGGAAAATTCCCAAAGAAAGACAACCCCTCCCCAAACCTCTCGAGCTCTTCAGAGAATAAACAGGATATAAAAACAGTACATAAGTAAATGAGAGAAGAGCCACATAACAATACAGGAAAGCGCTGTCGAAATTGTCCCACTGAAGAAAAAGGCAACAGACTTTTCCATTTAGGAGTCCAAAAGGGCTACCTGGAAGAGGCTTTTGCAACACCCCTGGGAGGCCCAGTTTGGGGAAAGCCGACTGGAAATGAAAGGACCCGGCTATGCCTTAAGCGGAGGACAACACTGGCAGCTAAAAACTGGGGGCGTTATTATTATTATTATTTATGTTTTCCCCCCTAGTATTGTGCGCTGCCCAGAGTCCACTGAAGTTGGGCGGCCGATGCTTTCAACAGAGAATAAATAAAAATAATCCTCGTCCTTCTTTCTTCCCAGTGAAAGAAACGGGCCTCCTAAAGGGGCGAGAGAAGGGAGGGGGCGGCCTAGCGAAAGCACTCGGTTGGGGAGGGAGGTAGAGAGAGCAACGGGGGACTCCCTACACCCGGCCGGGTGCACCGCTGAGGGGGAGGAGAGGAAGCGAGGCGCCGGCCTAGCAGAGAAAGACAGCCACGCGGATTGCCGCGCTTCACAGCCCCGGCACACTTACGGCCGCCCGCGCCTCCTGCTGCTATGGCCGCCCTGGCTTCCGGGTCAGTCGCGTGCCTGACGTCATCTCCCTGAGCCGCCACCGCCGCCGGCAGAACCTGTTGGACGTTCGCCCCGCCCCCCTGAAGTAGGGCCGTTGCTGCCTTCTTTCTCCGACAGAGGGCGCGAGAGCCCTTGGAATCGCTTCTTCGCCCTAGACTCCGGTGCCGCCGCCTGCGTGTTACCCGCAACGTCGGAATGGTGCCCCCAGCCGCCGTTTGAAGTAAGAAGCGCGCGTTGAACTGAGCGGGGCAGGCAACAGTGCGGAGACGCGTTTCCATACGGCGGCTGCCTTCAACCTCGCCTGGGGCAAAGGGGTGAAAGTTATTTATTTATTTATTTATTTATTTATTTATTTATTTATTTATTTATTTATTTATTTATTTTAATAGATAATAAATAATAAAATAAATATTGTCATATTTATATGCCGCCCTTCTCTCGAGGGACTCGGGGCGGCTCACAGAATAAACAGTCCAACAATAAATAGAATTAAAATGTTAAAATCCGATTTAACACCCCAAATCCCAAATTAAAATACACAGCAGATCAGGGAATTTGCTGAAAGAGCCATGTCTTTAGATCGGCGCGGAAGGTGCGGAGGTCGGGGGCCATCCGGAGCCCAGTGGGTCAACCATTCCAGAGGGTCGGTGCGACCACAGAGAACGCCCTCATCCTGGGGGCCGCCAGCCGACACTGCCTGGCCGATGGAACCCGGAGGAGGGCAGTCCTATGTGAGCGCACTGGGCGGTGGGAGGCGGGTAGGAGGTGGTCCTGCAAGTACTCTCCAAGTTATGATTCGAAAGGTGGGCCTACGTGGGTCACAGTGGGCTTACATCCCCTTTTGAGTTGGCAGCCCATTCGGTTTAAGACGTTCAGCGATTTATTAGCAAGAGAAAAATATTACATGATATAGGCTGGGCTCATACCTTGCATGAAGACAGTAGCAAATCATAACTATGGCCATCGTGATTTAGTCAAGTGGCTTGGTATGGTTTTGCATCATATGCGTTCTGTTGAGTAATCGTTGAGTTCGTACCCCAGGTATTAAGCCATAAACCATTATTTACAAACAACAGGACTTGGACGCCCAATGCACAAAATGGTCTGATTCATTTTACTTTACTATGTCATTGTTATTTTTAAATTATGCTTACTGAATTATATAAATCCAGCCAGTATTGATATACGCAGTATAACCTAGTTATACTGATTATAATTAGCTGGTTACAATTGAACATGTATTAATAAGATAATTATGATCTAATCAGGGTGATAGTCAATAACTTGAATGTATTTGTTTTATAATGTTGGAAGAAATGTCCATCTGTGTTCAATTCCAAGTGGGGAGAAAGACACTGGAAACATGGAAGCTGTTTGGAAAGATGGTTTAATAGTGGACAGGACCACATGGTTTGAGGCCCAGCTTTTTGTCTTGTAAATCAGCAGTCACCAACTGGTGGTCCGTGGACCATTGGTGGTCTGTGAGAAAATGTTGGTGGTCCGCAGAAAAATTATTTGCATTTTTTATATTGTATTAAATCGGGGGTCCTCAAACTACGGCCCGTGGGTTGGATACATGCAATGAACATTTGTGTTGCTGCAGAGAGTCTCCCCTTTGGGGTCTTCTTGTGTGGGTCGGAGGGGGGAAGAAATTCCAACTTGGGGTCTGCTTCAGCCTCCTGGTGTGGGGCTTTGGGCGAAGGCTGGAGGGAAGTGCCGCTGGTGGCAAGGAGCTGGAGGGCCTTGTTCCAGTGGGACTGCATCATGGCCTGGAACTGACTGACCATCTCAGCCCGCTGAGCCTCCAGGCGCCGGTACCTGGCCTTGCGCTCCTGTAGGTCTTCCGTCTGCTTGGAAAGCCTATCCTCATAGTCCTTAGTGAGGTGCTTCTGCTGAGCCCCCTTCTCGGTCAGATCCAATTTGAACTGAGCTGTTTTGCCAACTCTTTCTCGTGGTGGCTGCTTAGCTCCAACAACTGCTTCCTGTTGGGGCCCTAAGGAGCCCGGATGGGGAGGTGAGGAGTGGCTGGGAGGAGAGGGGTGAATAGAGGCTGGCGAGGCACCTCTCGATGTGAATGACATTGAGTTGGCCATGCCCACCCAGTCACATGCCCACCTAGCCACGCCCACCCAGCTGGTCATTAGGCAGATCATATTAGTGCTCCACGGGATTTAAAATTATGAATTTAATGGTCCCTGAGGTCTGAAAGGTTGGTGACCCCTGTTGTAAATAACCAAAGTATCTGCTGAGGGCAGGGAGCTGGGCTGAGTTTCTGTCTTAAGATTTCTATTTCTCTTTTAGGGGAAATATTCTGCCTTTTTAATATTTCCTGGAATATTTCATTTTTCTAGGAGAGGGATGGGTTCTGACTTCCTACAATAATAAGTTAACCAAAGCATGACTATTTGCAGATGTTACTGAATTGAAACTCTTAGGACTTCAGATGACACACTTAGAAACATCTAGAAAGGATATTTTTTATTTTCAGTCCTGATTTGGTTTCATGAAAAAAACCCAAGAAATTCCTTTTCATTAGAACTTTACCTTTGGTGTGTGGATTATCAGTCATTATAGTTTGTAGTGGTTTCAAAATCAAGCTCTGTTTAATGCTGACCTGGTTCAAACTGCTTTTGAGATTTCAGAAGTTTGTGTGCTAATCTTACTTTGCCAATACACCAGCAAATTAAAACCACTAGAGAAAAGTGAGTAGAGAAAAATGTGTAAGCTCTTGTATTATTCCCAGTTCTATAAATCTGATTCTCCAAATTACTGTAACTTCTGAAAACTATCCAGAAGCATAAGGAGAAAAACTCATCTAAAATGTCAGCAAAGGAGAAAAATTCCATCTCCGCTTTATAGTGTTCTCTATGTATATGTATAGAACAAACCTGTCCAAAGAATTCTGTGCCAATTTATAAAACCAAGTAATGAAATATCAGCAATATTTGTCAATCCAAATGTTCAGCTCCCAAACAAACGTTAAAAGGGTGTTTTGGATGAAATACACACAGCATTAAGTTTTTAAACACTTGCCTAGATTTAAAGCCTTGATAAAATGCACTAAATCTTTTAAGGTTTTTAATGAATTTAGCAGGTGTTTCATAAATCAGAGTTTGGCTCAGCCCTTCTTTTAATAGCAGTAAACTAGGAAATTGCTGTGAGTGGAGGCAAAACGCATTCCTGTAACAGTGAAAACAAACAAGGTTTTTGAACAAGAAAACTGGCCTCATGTCTGGAACTGACTCTGGTGACACTAAATCAGATTCCATCTGTGGATCTATAGTTAACAATATCAAGATGTAACCAGGTAGAATGGTAAATGCATCAGAAGGTTAAGGAATCATTATCAGCACAGCTTGGCCGTGGAAGAAACGTGAAAAACTCTGGAACGTGGAACTTTGTTGGATTTCATTTTGTAGTCTGGCCAAATCCAGTTAGATTCACTCTTGGCAAAAATGAAAACTTATGTCACTGTCCCTTCATAGGGGCAGTGAGAAGTTTATGTGATGGAGATCTTGTTATTCCTCACGTGTCAGCTTTCCCAAGTAGACCAGACAGGAAACTCATCAGATGAACTAATTCTATCTTGTTGTGAAGCTACATTAACAGAATCAAAACTGCCACCATCTCTTTCTGCAGCCTGATAAGTTAGGGAGGGATCCCTTCTCAGTTTCTTTCTTTGCCTGTTATGCAACTGTGAGCTCCCCCAGTTATCTGACTTCCCTAAGCAGCATCTCTTTCCCCCACCTCCCACAGTCCTTTCCTCAGTTCACTAAGTCATTATTTCCTTAGTTGGGGTTGGTTGAAGAGCTGATATTTGGCTGGATTCACATAACATGCTGGGCCCAAACTAAACACATAATAGCTTGGTATGATGCATGACATAATTTTATCAGATCTCACTTTCACTGTGGTATTTGGAACTGAAGACAGTTCTTGAGGTGGGCTTGAGTATGCAAAAACAGTAGAACTGAAATTACATTTAAATAAAAGTTCATGTTTGACTTGGCATGCAAGTTTAGCACTTACCTTGGGTAAAAAAAACATCAAAATCCCTCATAGGAGGAGGCCAGTTTGCACATCAGGACAGCCATATTCATAATGAGCACTAGTATGTACGAATATGCGTGTATAGGCAACAAAGATGTCATCTTTATTTCAAAGCGATATGAAATGCTGTAGGAGCCAGTTTCTTTTTTATTTGAAAGAAAGCTGCCACTGACTCATCAACTTTTTCTCAAAATCCCCTTAAGTCATTTTTTTAAGATGTTGGGATGTGGGGAGAATAAAATAAATTAAAGCAGATTAAAAAGAAGCCCTCTTCCTGTCAATAATTTCCTTTCAGCTCCACTTGATCCCAGTTCGCATGCCTATGTGCAAAAAATCAGGCCTCCCTAAAGCGTGCTCATCTTTGAGGCACTTTACAAACAACATATTAAATAATTATTAGGCACAGCTATTAGCGAAGATTAGAAGTGCCTCATCTCTTCCTTCCAGTAACTTTGTCCCAACCCATTAGAACTGAAAAGCAGAAAATTAAAAAAAAAACTCTTCCAGAGATGGAAAGGCTTTCATTCGTTGTACTTCACTTTGCAAGAGAACACAAGAGGGAACTGCTCCTGATCCTGGTGCCAGCCAACTTGCCAGCTGCCCTCTTCTAGGACATTCCGTGCTAGTTCCCGCTGCTCACGTTTCTTCCTTAGCAGCCATGGAGAAGAGAAAGAAAGGAAAAAGAGGTCTCTAATTTATCTCCAGAGTTATCTCCAGCTTTCCTCCTGAGTTAAGCTGCCATATCTCTAAGAATTTCAGAGAAAAGCAATTGGTTATTCTGTGCTGAGCACTAGTATATTTTAATATAACTTTCTCAGGTCCAACTGGACAATATGGTTTCTGTCTGCAATTCTGTACATCAACGTCTGACCTTGGAGATGTGTGTGTTCCCCAAGTTTTCTCTTCCTAGCCTTGGAGAGTTTTCTGAGTCTGCTGTTAGGTTTTGGGTTCACAAATGTTGGAAATTGGCCATGTGGAGATAAGAACTACACAAGAGCATCACATGCCCTGAAATGACCATAAAACAATTAAAAATGCAGAGAAACAATGTAGACTCCTTGAAACCAAAGTCAACAGTAAAGTTCTATGTAGTTTACTTGGCAACAATATGAACATTGCTTCTTATATAGCCTTCTTTGGGGAATTATTTTCAAGTTGTTCTTTAGCTCATCACTCTGGATTTCTTGGTCTTCTTTTTGAGATCAGCCAAGGTCAACTACCTGGGCAAAAAGACACCCCCCCCCAATAATCTTGGCAGTGCCCATGTGCGCCCTACATGGCATACCTACTTTGCATCACCCCCTACCTCACCCTAGAAAACTGCCTACTTGAATGTGTTCTGTTTGCTTTGTTTTACTGTTTAAAAGAATATATTTTGCCAACGTCTCTTCTCTTTCCTCATGGTAATGCAGTTTCCCAAAATTATAACATCATTCTGGAATGTTGATCCTGTTCTTGGGGCTTTCTGCTGAGAAAATCCACTGGGCTTTTAGTTGCCTCTTGACACTTGGGGGAGTGGCGCTGTATGAAATGATCCCTAAGAGGCCACTCTTGCTGCTGGTGGAGAAAGCTGGGGAGGGCAACTTCCCATCCAGGCTGGAGAATCCTGAAACAAGAAGATAGCAAACCAGTTACTACCAGGAGGAGAAACCTGAGAGAGAAACCGAGAAGGAACTTGGAGTTCTGCAGGTGTCCTGGGTGGGGAAGTGCCCAGAGACAGAACACCCTGATCAAAGCTATTGTGCTGACAGAATAGATTAGTATCCAAAGGAGAAGCTTCAGGCAAAACCTGATGGGAATGACAGTAGGGATTAAAGTTGGAAAATAACTTGATCCAGAGGAGTGACTCAGATCAGCATTGTTTGACAGGGAGAAGGTTTCAGGGATAAAGGGCTGATCCTGTCAAAGATGGGGGAGTGGTAAGAGCCTAAAGCTCCCAGCGTATATCTCCCACTGAAGTTCCCCTGTCCGCAGGTACAGGTGGGGTACTTTCAGAACAGGTAAATAAGCAACTTAGTTAAGAGCAGCTCATTCTTTCTCAACCCGGATTGATTCAATGTCATATTATGACCTCTCTCCCACCTTTTTGTGAGTCAGGCACCTTCAAAGCAGCTATGGTTGTCAACTCACTAAGCTGCCGCAGCTGGATTAGATAATTAGAGTTTTAGAATATTTATCTGTTTACGTTTAGGGAGAACTCTGCGTGTATGTATGTGGGAAACATATAAAAAAGCTGAAAATCAAATGCTGATCACGAGTGATTGGCTTGAGGTATGCCTGGGTGTGTGTGTTTGTACATACTGATTTTCATAAGAACAAAGAATATAGAATAGAATATTCCTTATTGGCCAAGTGGGATTGGACACACAAGGAATTTGTCTCCGGTGCATAAGCTATATGCATAAGTAGACATACAAGTAACAAAATGATAAATCATGAATCATAAAATACAATCCTAAATCATAAGATACAACCAACAAGTAATAGTGATAAGATACCAATAGGAATAGGTAATAGGATAGGTGAGAAGCATTATGGTAATACAGCCCTACTTCAAAATACGTTTAAAATATATTTAATTGACCAAATGTCCAGGCAATTTTTTTTTTACAAATGCAAAAAGATGGGGATAGTGTTTGCTAAAACCATTAGACAGTCCAAAGGGAGAGAAGGAATAACAGCTTTTGGTGAAGACTGAAAGACTTCAAAGACTGAAACACTGAAAGTTTATGCTAAATAAATAAATAAATAAACAACACTGGATGAACTTTTCACAAATTTTCCTCTCCTATGAAAGAGGCTTCTGCCTTTTTACCTTCTTGGAGAATTTGGAACGCAATCCACCATTTTTGGATATGTTGTTGAGTTCTAGTGCTAGCTTGCCTGTTTTGTATTCTATAATTTTCCATCCTCTTGAAGCCTGCTTGGCAGGACAGTCTGGAAAAATAAAGCTTCACGAGACAACTTCTCTCCCTTGGGGTAGAATAGAAATTGGGAAGCCAAGGAAACTGCAGAATAAGCAATGGCAGCTCTTCATATAACAGCATTTTTACCTATTCTAATCTAAAAGTCTCCAAGTGAAGTGCATAACATAGAAACCATTGCAAAAATCAAAATAAACATAGAAAATTCTGGTGTAGGAATGGTAATAAAAGAAAATCCATATTTATTTAGCATATAGCATACCATACATGGACTAGCAATATATATTAACATTTCAACTGGACTAGTAGAACGCAATAAAATATAAATGTTAAAAAGATCTATAAATCCATAATTGCAATCTCATGTATGTATGTATATATGTATGTATGTATGTATCACTATTAGAGATCTTTTACCAGGGAATCCTTTAGAATTCTCTGTCTTCTACCTTTATTCTTAAGCATCCTTCTTTATCTAGTCTTACTGATTCTTCTTATCTAGAAGTAGCACCCAGATAAAATGGTGTCCCCAGATCCTTTTTGATTATTATTATTATTATTATTATTAATTTAATTTGTATACCGCCCTTCTCCCAAGGGGACTCAGGGTGGTGAACAGCCAAAATTAAAATACATAACAATACAAAAGTTAAGATAATTAAAAAAGATTAAATCAATCGGCCTCCCATTTTAAAACCCCAAGTCTATAAAATTTAAAAAATCCCATTAAAAACCCTTTAGACTAGGCCGGCTTGCTGGAATAAGTAAGTCTTCAGGGCCTTACGGAAGGTCCGGAGGTCCGGGATCAGTCATATTCCAGGAGGTAGCTCATTCCACAGGTCGGGTGCCCCCACAGAGAAGGCTCTCCCCCTGGGGGCCGCCAGCTGACATTGCTTGACCGACGGCACCCTGAGGAGGCCCTCTCTGTGAGAGCGTATTGGCCGGTGGGAGGTTATCGGTAGCAGCAGACGGTCTCGTAAGTACCCTGGTCCTAAGCCATGGAGCGCTTTAAAGATGAGAACCAACACCTTAAAGCGCACCCAGAAGACCATGATCATCAGACTCTAGTTATATAAAATGTTTTGTCAAAATAAAAAAAAAGCTGACAAGTCACTAAACTCTATCACCACATTTAATTACCGGATAATATTTAGACCTTTAGTTTAGATCAGGGGTGTCAAACTCAAGGCCCGTGGGCTGGATCCGGCCTGTGGGGTGCTTAGGTCTGGCCTGCGGTGCTGGTCTAGAAGTAACAAAGGACCGACCCACGGTGCCTCTGCTAGCGAAAATGGGGTGCAGGGAGGCTGCGTGTGGCCCTGGCGCCCCATTTTGGCCAGCAGGGTGCTACAGGAGGCGTCAGTCCCGTCTCTCCCCCTCCCCTCCCCCAGCCGACCTGCAGAGGACAACTACAATGCTGATCCGGCCCTCGAATAAATCCAGTTTGACACCCTTGGTTTAGATCAGTGGGTCTCAACCTTCCTAATGCCGCGACCCTTTAATACAGTTCCTCATGTTGTGGTGACCCCCAACCATAAAATTATTCCTAAAACCATTGAAAATATGTGTTTTCCGATGGTCTGAGGCGACCCCTGTGAAAGGGTCATTCGACCCCCAAAGGGGTCCCGACCCACAGGTTGAGAACCACTGGTTTAGATAGAGGACATTCTGGAGGCTTTAGTAGATGGTCGCTGTGATGATCGTAAATGTGAGGACTGCTGTGCTGTTGTAAATCAATGGTTGTAAGTCGAGGACTACCTGTATAAGTACAACATTTCACAATAGCATCAACTTTTTTTCTCTCCTTCCAGAATATGGGAACAGATAGCAATTAGCTTGGGTTAAATGTTGCAAAAACAAAGTGGGAAAGAACAACTAGAAGAAAGAACAGATCAGACTTCAGCCATGGATAGTTAGGATGTTTCTATATAATCTATCAAAGCATGCCTTTGTTGAATTTTGGCTTATGTGAAGTACCCCTGCTGTCAACAGAATGATATTCCATCTGTGTGTAATAACTTTAAATCCCCCTGGGCAGATCTCCTGGCTGTAGCCCATAGCTAGCATGCTGATAAGGCCTGGTTAAATGCTTTAAACTGTCATCATGAGAGACCGATTCCTCTCCCTCGACCTCTTTTCCCTGGACTTTGTATATGCTAAGCCCATGGCGGGGATTAATCCTGCTGTTGCCCATGGCATGGCCAGGCTAAGGCTCTATTAATAATTCACCAAAGAAAAGATCTATAGATGGAAATGATGTCTTGGCAGAATTCATAAAACATAAATAAAGAAAACCTGGATGGCCTTCATGACCAAGAAGAATGCTTGGGATAGGAAAATGGAGGAAAAATGATTGTTGGCTGAGTTTTGTATTTATTCACTAAGATCTGCTTATTTTAGCCGATTGGACCCAAGTTGCATCTTAGCTGATGACAGCCCCTTGCTGGCTGTGGCTAGGCTCAGAAAGTCAGCAGGATTGGGCCCAGTTTGATGGAAGAAGCTTTGATGGCACAACCTTGAGGCTGCAAGCTAGATGGGGATACTGAAAACACATCTTGGAAGAAAGCATTTTGATGCCAAGAAGTCAGCAAGAGGTAAGCTCAAGTAGAGCCTATACAGTCAAAGCATGTCTCAAATGTCTCTTTCAGTTGGCTTGGAGGCCAAATAGAGGGCTAGCAGGGAGAGTCCTACTGATTGCCTCCTTGCCCAACATGTTCACATGATGTGACTAATATGTGCTCAATGTGTTGAAGCCTATTACTCTTCAGATACCCCACCTTCATATTTGGTAGTCATGCTATTTGTCATACTAATCACCATTCTTCTTGTTGTGATTTTCTGGGATGCCTCTGAACAAGTGGATTTTCCAAACTTGAACCATGAGCAGGACGGCAAGTTCCAGCCAACAATATTCCTTACCTTTCAAGAAAACAAATTCAAGTTTAACTGAGGTGAGAATACCACTAGAATTACTTCTTATAGACCAATGTTTGGCAACTTTAAGACACATGGACTTCAACTCCCAGAATTCCCCTCAGTCCAGGGGTCTTAAAGTTGCCAAGGTTGAGAAACACTGGTTTAGAGCCAATCTTTTACTGTTCCGATTCCACTCATATTTATTACTTTTTAATTTGGGCACTTGATGTGCCATTAATTATTACTTGTGGCATTACAGTTTCGGTTGAACTAGATTGAACCAGTGTGATTGGTTCTTCCTGTCTAACACAGATCAAAACCCAAACCTGTGCTGCAATTTTGCAAAATGGAAACAGAAGTCCACTTCTGCTTTTCTATTTCATTGTCAGTGTGCTTAAGGGTTTATTTGGGGAGTATTTTGAGCTAATTCTATTGCCCAAGCAATACTCTTATTTTCCATCACTTTGAAGTTTTTTAGTTACCCTGGAAAAACTTCTCAGGAAGAGTTGTCTGATGGTATCTTTTCTTAAGAATGGACGTGTGGGAAGCCCAGAAGCTAGAGACCTCTGGGAAAGAAGATAAAAGGTAATAAACAGTGTAAGTTTCCCCCGTCCATTTGTTTCCCACTCTAGAGGGTGGTGCTCATTTCTGTTTCTTAGCCAGACATTTCCGTGGTCCAATGATTAGCTTGACTGTATGCCGAGGCATACGGAACTGTATGTAAACTGTAAATAGGTACCAAAGTGGTACCTATTTATCTACTTTCAAACTGCTAGGTTGGCAAATTAGGTTTCTAAAAAAACCCCAAACCCTAATTTTTGTAAAGCTGCTAGGTTTCTAAAAAAACCTAGGTTTTGTAAAAACTGCTAGACTGGAAAAGAACATTGTGTACTAAATCACAGAACAGAACATTCACACTTATACATCAGCCACCTTGTGACCAAGTGAAAGGCATTCTTCTCAGGAGAATTGCAACAAGCAATTGCAAAAGTGAATGCTCTTTCAATAAATAGAGTCTTGGAGAAACAAAAATACACAATAATTTTTCAGCACAGACCCCGCTCTGAAAGACCTTCCCTAGGTCGAGAAAGTACATTTGTGGTACAGTTGGAACACCAGGGGTGAAATGCTCCCGGTTCGGACGGATCACCCGATCTAGTAGCACTGGAGGCGGGTGGTTTGGAGAACCGATAGCAAAAATCCCTGCCCCCCCCCCCATGCCCAGCTGAGCTGCATAAATCATCAGAGGCTTTTTTTTTTTACTTTTAAAAGCATTTTTTCTACAACCTCTTCGGCCGAAAAAATGCTTTTAAAGGTAAAAAAAAAAAAGCCTCTGATGATCGCGCGGCTCAGCTGGGATCGTCAAAGACTTTTAAAAGAAAAAAAGGGTTTTTTTCTTTTAAATGCCTCTGACGATCCCAGCTGAATTGCTTGATCGTCAGAGGCATTTAAAAGAAAAAAAGTCTCTGCCGATCAGGCAACTCAGCTGGGATCATCAGAGCCTTTTGAAAGCATTTTTTTACAACCTCTTCGCCGAAGAGGTTGTAGAAAAAATTGTTTTAAAAGTAAAAAAAAAAAAAAATGGCCACGCCCACCCAGTCATATTACCCCCCCTCACCAAGCCACGCCCACAGAACCGGTGGTAACAAATTTTAGATATCACCACTGTGGAACACACATAGAGTGTAAATAAAACCCATGGTTTTCTTTCTGTAGGTGGGAATAACAAGTACAGATTATCTGGTTGCTTGTTTATTGACCTATCGTGCCTCCCACCCCACTCTCAAAGTGTGAGATTCACAGCATGTTAGCGTATAAATTCCAAACTCATTTATCCCTCATTTCTCCCAACATGGCCCAATTTCTCCCTAAAGGAAGCAGTGGAAAGCATGAGGGGTGTGGAAGAACCTCAAATATTTCAAAAAGTGCACATAATCTTTATAAACCAAAAAGGGTCAGGAATGGAGATTTGACCTCGACTATGTATACTTGCAAAGTAGGCAATGCTGATGTTTGCTCAAGTAGAAGAAACTCCAGGTAGGGAAAAAGTAAATCTTTGGGAAGAAGATAGTGTCAGGCTCTAAAAAAACCAAGAAAGACACACTGAGACCCTACTAAGCAGATTCCTTTATTATTCCTCATCTGTAGACAGAATCTTGCCAAACTAAAGCAGACTAGTTGCACCATAAAACATGTATTCTGGGAACTATTAGAGAGGAGGCGTCTTCATCCTTACACAAACTATCTAAACTGAGTTGTCTCTTGCTCCTCTGGAATGCATTCCCTCCATCCTGGGAATCTGGAGAACATTCCATCACAGTTGAATAGTGTCACACTCTGCTACTATATTCAACTTGTCCCGTTTACAGATATTACATGGGCATATCTATCACTGGGTCTCCATCCAACCATTATATGCTGATATAATGTTAAGTATTTGAATCAAAAAATAAGGGAGCCTTAATGAGAGTAGAATATGCACATGGGCTTTTCAAACAAAGGAGGTTCACTATCTTTTTTTTTTCCCATTTCCCCCCAGATCATTTCCTGAATAATTTTGAAATTCAGAGCAAACATCCCCATCAGTGTCAGCTGATTATCTGGATGGAAACAGAAGTAAAATGCAAGACAAATATGGATAGATCTTGTTATGGCTAGGGAAAAAAATAATCCTGCGATTCATAAATAAAATGTTTTTGTTTCTAGCTTCAGTTTTCTTTGGCATGTATGAACTGACACCTAGGAAGGCAGTTAAGTCCCTCTCTTTGTCACATCCAACACAGTTCTGTCTATTTAAAAAACACAGAAAGACAATTGTTCCATTGGAAAAGATGGTGAATCTTAACCCTAAGGCCATTGTTTTTTTTTTTTTTAAAAAGACACCACTGGAAAAGGAAAAAATACAACCAATTAAATCTCTTCAACATTATTTACAGATGATGGTGCCAACTTGCGTTCTGGTAGATCCAAGTTCATTAGATGTCAGCATTAACAATACTGCACTTGGCAATCAAGACAGAACTCAGGCTGTTAGTCATTAATCACCATCTGACAGCCTGAAGCAGAAACTCAGAAAATGGCTCACACGTGTCTCATCCCCAGTAACTCTCCCTGCTGCAATGATAGCTCTCGTTCATGCCACTGACTTACTGCTTTTCAGCAACACGGCCTGGGTGATAAGGCCCTTATTTTGTTCTATTTATATTTATGGGAACTAAAGGAATGTGGCATATGTCTAAGTGCATGCAATCAATGTAAGATTTGTTTACAACAATAAACAGGTTTATTGTTCATATGTACAGAAAAGTTGTCACGTCAGCATATTTATCTATTTTTGCAGAGATGTAGCCTCGAATTGAAATTAGATGCAGTACAAGTGACCATTGGAAGTTCTTCACCAATTTAGGGGCAGAGAAATTACAAGGAGGATTTTTTTCTTCTGAATTTCTCCAGGGGATGGAGCAATTCTTCCATGCTTTCTCAAGAGCGGGATTTATCTTTTAACAATGTAAATCAATATTTCTCAACATCACTATTTTAAGATATATGGATTTCAACTCACAGAATTCTGGGAGTTGAAATTCACACCTTAAATTGCTACATTTGAGAAAGACTATGCTTGAGTAATCCAAAGATTCTGGAATCAAAAGTCAGCTCCAAAGAGGGGAATGTAAAGGAATTCAGTGCGCCCTCCAATTTTTAAAAATGTTTTCTTCCACTGAAAAGGAGCCTCCCACTCCCCCACCCCCTGTTTAAAATATAACATGATTGGGGTGCTCCTGGGTGGAATTCCTTTCTGGTGAAATTTTATTGTTGGAATTGGGGTAGAGTTTGATTGTGTTTGACTTCTCAATCAATGATCTTCCTCACCAGCTTTCCCTGTTTTTTAGTTGAAAAATGTGGAGAAAAAAGACACATATTTATAGATATCATGTAGATCAGGGGGTGTCAAACTCAATTTCATTGAGGGCTGCATTAAGCCTGTGGTTGACCTCAGGGGGTGGGCGGGCATGGCCAACTGGGTGGGCGTGGCAAGCTTGATGCCAGTCACTGGGCATGGCCAACTGGGTGGGTGTGGCTGACTGGGTGGGCGTGGCCAGCTTGACGCCACTCCCCAAACTGCTGGCATGTTTCCTCTTCGCACTGGGTAGACTAATCCGAAGCGACGCAGGTAGACCAGGCTGAAGCAACATGGGCTGGCCCCTTACATTTTCCAGGACGGCCCTGCAGGCCAGATCCGACCACATCGCGGGCAGCATTTGGTCCACAGGCCTTGTATTTGACACCTTGATGTAGATGGTGCCTAACTAAAGCCAATGTTAGGGGGGAAAATGTTTCCTGTGAAGTTTTCACTTTTTTTCACCCTTTTTTGGGGGGGGAGGGGGAGGAAGAAACCCAACTTATCTATTTTCACCAAGTCAGAGAATTGTTTAAAAATGCAGAAGAAAAGTTCAGTACAAGTGCCAAGGCTTCACTTTCTCAGCTCCATTGGTTTAAGAACCCTAAGGAAAGCCGTGAGTCCAGGAGATGGCAACTCAGAATGACAAAGTTGGAAGGCACCTTGGAGGTCTTCTAGTCCAGACCCCTGCTCAGGCAGGAAACCCTATGCCATTTCAGACAAATGGTTGTCCAATCTCTTCTTAAAAACTTCCAGTGTTGGAGCATCCACATCTTCAGTTGTTCCACTAATTAATTGTTCTAACCGTAGGGAAAACTCCCCAGACCATCAGTGCATCAATGATGACGACAGTGGACTCATGAATCTTCATCATTTTTGCAGCTTTTACTTCCAAACTCTTTTAAGAAGTAGCAAGCAAGAATAAGAAATGTCATTTGTTTTTAGAAATTTATGAAGCTTTGGGGAGTTTCACTGGCTCACTACAAAACTAGCCCTTGCATGAGGACAGCACTTCCTTTTTCTTCAATTCATTCATGTCTGATTCTTGGAGAAAGCCTGGATAGATTCCTACAGTTTTCTTGGCAAGGTTTTTCAGGATGGGGTTGCCCTTGTGTTTTTCCTAGGGTTAAGAGAAAATAACTATCCCAAGGTCAACCACCTGGCTTTGTGCCTAAGGTAGGACTTGAACTCTTCTGGTCTTTATCTGATGTACACCAAACTGGCTCAAGTATTTACCCACTGCTAAGTGATGTGAGGGGTCCTTGGTGCTCTCTGAGCTTGTTTGTTTTCTTTAAGATGTTTCATTACCCAAACTAGGTAACATCATCAGTGCTAATCCAGTGAGGCGAACAGTGACTAGCACTGATGTTGTTACCTAGTTTGGTAACAAAATGTCTGCAAGAAAACAAGCTGAAAAAGCTGAAATATTCTCCTTTATTAGTAAGTGATGTCCTTTGCATCAGAGAAGCTTCCCTTCCAAAGGAACCTTCTGGTAAGCACATGGGAAGATGAGTGGAATATGTCAGATTTTGGCCTGTGCTGCAGCATCTTCTGAGATGGGCCAAATCCTCAGGATGCTGGTGGAACTCCTGGATGAACCCAGCTTTTAGAAAGGAAAACGAGGGTCTGACTTGGGACTTTGCAGTGGGAAATTTACTCGGAGGCTTTTTCTTTACTTAATCTTCTAGACGCCAGCCCAGTGGACAACTGCCAACATACCAGGTCATCTTGTCCATAAATAAAAGCAGCAATGTTTCCAGCCCCAGAATCCCATTTATAATGGGAAAATGATTAATGGCCTCGCGAAACCACAATTCATCCAGGGATAGAAATTATACTTGCTTCCAAAAGGAAAAAAAAAAACAAAAAACCCACAAACCCAACCGCACTTGAGAATGAGTGCTTGGAGAAGTTTGGGCAGATGGATGGGATGAGGGTGAGGGGAAGCTGGGGGTGATCAGGACTCATCAGTGTTCTGGGATTTTTGACTCTCAGGCACTAGATGAGTAAACTGCAAGAAATGCATAAAAGAAAAGAAGCTGCAAGGTATTCAAAGAGAAGCATTCTAAAATAGGTTAAAAGGGGTGGGGAATGCAGAAAGAAGCTTAGAAATTACCCTTGCCAGGTGATACACTACACCTTTGGGTCACATCCTGCAAGGATGACCTGTGGGAATTCATTCTCAGAGTGAGACTGTATGTCTTTTACTGGACAGTTCTGAACCCCCCTCTTCTCTTTCTAGCATCCTTTTTCTCAAGCACCAAGGAATCAAGAGGGAGTTTCTCCTAGGACTTGGAGTAGATCATCTGCAGAAGACCATTGAGACTAGACCCAGGACTATAACTACTTCCCCCTATTTACACCATCATACTCTGCCACAAGCCCAGGACAGGAAGGAGCACAAATTGCATGAAATATGGAGTCCTTAGTGCTATATGAACTTGTTTGTTTGCATGCAGATGTGTCATTATCTGACTAAGTAACATCATCAGTGTTAATAAGTGTAAGATTTGCTCTGTTTACATATAGTAGTTTGTCCTGCCTGTGTTGGTGGGAGTGTGGTTTTCTACTTGGTAGGTCCTTGATTAGGGTATTGTATTTTGCTTGATTGTTTGTCTTGTGTTAATCCCTGCTTATCTGGGAGTTGGCTGCTGGAGAGGATGTGTTCTAGTCTTTTTGTTTTCTCCTTTTTGATTGTCTCTTGAATGACGTGTAAATGTGGTTTATCTTGATATGTCTGTTGATGGCTGATTTGTTTTGCAGGAATTCCCTAGTGTATTTGGATATAGTTTGGTCTATGATGCTCAGTTTCCCAACTGAAACTATAGTTTAATCTGTCTGCTCTAATGAAGCAAATCCCCACACTCACTAGCACTGAGGATGTTCCCTAGTCAGGTAGTGAAACATCTGTAAGCAAACTATCAACTTCAGAGAGAATCAAGGCCTCCATAGTTCAACCTTGAGCTATATATATTTTCTTCTATTGTTCTTCCTTATAATTAGAAATTTCTGGTCAGCTGCATAAGGTATGTTCAAGACTAGATTTCCCTCCAGTTTAAATGGCAACTCACTTTCCCAGCACCACTAGTCTTGTTAACGTTTGTCAGGCCACGATGCAGAGGAAAACAATGTATGAGAGAAAAAAATATTCACCTGGATGGAGTACAAGTCAAGACAGTCATTTACCTGCAATTGCATCACTTCTGCTTTCATATTCTTTTCAGGGCTGAATAACTCTTCTTGTCAGTCTGTTGAGTGGTGAGCTGAGAGAAAGCAGGAGCTGATTAATCTGGAAATGCATAAAAAGAGTTTTCCAGCACGACTGCTGACTTTAATCCAAGCAGCTGTGTTCTTTCACTTTGGCATCTAAACTCATTGTGTAAGTTCTGGGCTTGAAGGAAGCTAGTGGTATATATTTGTCATTGCCTAAGAAATAATGAAAAAGGGAAGGAGAAGGGGAAAGAGAAAGGGGGTTGGCCCCTTGCTTAATCAGACCAGCGAAAGCTACAAAATGGCTGTTGAAACCGGGAAAGAATAAAATGAGACAGACCAAAGCAGAGCTGAAAGCTGAAACAAAGGGAGAGTGAAAAAGTCACAGCCAGCAAGGGATGCCTACAGCATGCTAAAGAGTGTAGGTTTCCTTTTAGATATCAAGAAAAAGTCCAGGGTCCAAGTCAGAGTATACGTGAACAATGGAATTGTGGATACCAGCCGTGTAATTTTTTTTTTTTTAAATAAAAGTTAGTAGCTAGATCTACAATAATGCTGTGGTGCTGGGGCAAGAAAAATTAAAAGCTCTCTTTCTCC